GATGGCCTGCTTATGGGTTTCTTGCTCTGCTTCTTTTGTGCGTGTGAATCTAGTCTGTGGCCTAAATGGAAGCCTGTTTGTCTCGCGGTTCGATTCAAGAGGGGAGTTAGAACCATTGCCTGGCTACCTGCAGACGACGATCGGTCGAAGTAAGCGGTTTTTACTGCCTGCCTCGTAGCACGATTTCCGCTCTCATATCTGCCGCCGCTGCCGTCTACGGGTCGTTTTATCTCGGCCTGAATTCCCCCCTATTCCGTCCCTTTACTCTTCGCTACTTCTGATTAGTATTCCAATCGCGCAGCGTTGCTGAGGCAAACTCCCAGCATCATGGTCTTGGCGGCAGTAGTGGTCGCCTAATTTATTTCTATGCACCTTCACATGCCCTCATGTACGCGATCCGTTAGTGATCACTAGCGCCCACATGTACGAACACACAGTGAAGCTGCTAGTGCACATTACGTAAAAACGATACAGACAATGAAAAAATATTCGTTTGATAATATGTTGATGTTAATATATGTTAGGGCTAGACAGAAAAAATGAGCCATTAACATGTTATGAAGGCATCGAATTCTTACTTACAGGCTCCTTCTTCATTCATTCCTAGCGTTAGAACATAGGGCATGTTGTCATCGCGCCTGTATTTCTAAATCGTTCTAATAGCCTAACACAACTCGATTCTATGTGATATAATGTGCACACTGTTATGTAATGTGTCATAGGAGAAGGCACAAAGACCAAAACATAACACGTTTTTCGGTTAGTATTGACCATTTTACTTATTAGCTTAGACGTCTATGGCCAGACACATTACTGGCAACGGTTGGCTATACATTCTGCGTTCATTGTCCTTTGAGCAACAAAGAAATAGAACTACACGAAAAAAGAAGCGTTCAGCGCCCAAAAAAAACACGCAGTCTGGTTTTCCCTCACAGCTTCATTGCTTGCGGGTCAGGCGTTTGCTTCAAACCCATCAGCGGGTTATGCAGCGCAACCCCCCCCCCCCCCCCCGCCCCATGAGGCCGGTAATGTGATTTCTCCATTCCTCAATAACGACCGAGACTTTTAGGGCTCTGACACAACTTCTAAAGCCTCTAGCTTTCACGTTGAGAAGCACGCACACCGTTGTTGTTGGTAGCTGGCCGGTGTTGGCTCGTGCTATCTTCATACGACACGAAAAACGGAAAAACCAGAGATGTCCTTGCGGAAACGTCCAAGCAGCACGGTCGCAACCAGGCCTCAATGTCTAGCTTATCCGACCTAGCGCTACTGCTGCCGCGGCCGCCGGCACTGCTACTGCTGGAAACATCTTATCGTGAAAAAGGTGCCTGGATAAATCTAGCAGTTTTCAACGAGCTACCTACATTTACATGTAGGCAGTCAGTCAATAGAAAGCACACTACTGCAGCGCCGTTTGTAGCGACCGCGATCGCGAACGTCTGAAAACTTCGAGGCAAGGCTTTCTTAAGCTGAAAACTGTTTGGATGCGCTGGCACGAATGGCGTGTCTCTCTCTTAGTGCTCTCAGCATTGTATTATACCATTGCTAGACGGAGTCGTATGGTTATCTACGTGCGCGACCGAAGTGCATTCTCCCAAGGGAAGAATGACTCGCTCGAGCCATGAGAGTCGTTACGAGGGTTAAGGAAAGTGCTAGCTAGGATTGCTCGAGCAAGAATTGAACAGCAAGCTGTCAGTACACGAGGTCCACGCCGACAAAGACGAGAAGAAGGAGCTCGTACTAACCTCATGACGGCTCGATGGTACTCACAGCCGTAGACGTAGTGCTGGTCGTAGTAGCGGTAACAATAGTAGTCGTAAGGACATAACATTTGGGTAGTAGCTGGCGACGTTATCGGTGTCGACAAAGTGGGGTCCATGTTTTATATTGGCCTGTGGTCTTATGGCCCCGCGAGATAGGATGGGATAATTTGTGCTCCTCCAGAACCAAACCCGTCTTTGCGTGTAACGCGCGTAAACGCGTCCACAAACTATGCTGAATATCTCGGAACATTCGTAACACAGACGTTTGGAATATTTCGGCAGTCGAAGATTACTTTCTTTGCACGTCTTCCGTATCCTACAAATTGGCCTAATCGCTAGAGCCACGCTATATTATAGATATCGTCAAGTTGCGTATGTGAGGATTAGCCAAGATAACTTAACAAAATATGATTAATAAAATAATGACAAAAATTTTTAAATATTGCAGAGACCGTTGTTTACATTCATAATGCGCGTCAAGTACTCGACCATAGACGCTGAGGTCTGTGGTGCTCATTTGTGCTTCTGCTATTACTTGGTGTCCCTTTTCCCAGATACAATGATCTCATCTGCTTGTGTGCACAGAACCATGCGAGTCTACGGCGCATAACGTACAACGCACGTTACACTTTATTCGTAGCTGCGAATCGATTAAGTAGTTTCTAACCTTTGGTTGAACGATACTTTTATTATTGTTTAATCAAGACTCAGTAGCAGGACAACTTATATTCAAGCCCGCTTTAGCCTGCAAAACTGAAACTGCTCTTCATCTAAAATGTGCGCCTCTGTTCAAGTTTCTGCCCGTTTTTTTCAACCACTTGGTAAAAAAAAACGGGCATTAACACAGTTTTTGCAAATTCTGCGTACGTTAAGTTACGTACACTAACCGCTTTACTTAATACAATATTTAATGGAAGACTACATAATGTTGAAATCTAATTTTCCAAAATATCTTGACTAAACAGACATACATACGTATCCGTATTTACCTTGAAATGCAGACCGTCCTGAAGTGATAAATTGTGGCAGATCTAGATTGATCCTTTACGTCTAACGTAAAATAATTTCTATTCTACACGCCTTATACAATATACAAATAGATTAGGTAGGATTACAGATTAAAGATATGATATGATAGATCTGTATGCATATAGGTAATCGTATAAGCTCTTTACACATACGTGTAATAAACCGGTATCCCAGTTCGCAAGTAGTTCAAGTTACGCCTCCCGTTAATGTCGAGGATTTAATCATAATCTTTCAATTACATCTCTATTGACCGGTATTTTTAAGCTCATGCAGGACGCATTTTTTTAAAATTTTTCTTTTAATTCTTTAATAGTTAACTTACTTTAGAAACTAAGAAGGCATAAGGCGACGAATCATAGGGCGGATTACACACGCATATATATATGTATATATATATATATATATGGAAAGCAGACGAGAATACAGGATTTTTACTGTATCCACACTGATGATCAAACGATCAGTCGGAGCAGCAAAACTAGCAGCAGGCAAGCAAGGAAGGGGATCCGGCTAGTGAACTTCCTTCCTCTACGTTAGTGGCGTTTATGTTTTTAGGGGAGTGTGTATAGGTACGCACGTGTTCCCCTCGACCTAGAGTGAAGTCACCACGCCAACGGCAAACGGTTGTAACACATATCATTTCTTAGCCGCGGCAGCTGGCCTCCTCCTCGATCCATTAGACCCAAGCGATCTTGTTGCAACCCAATAACTTATCGCGAGAAGGACAGAGACTCCTATCATGCGCAAATACTTGTGAATGACTTTATAATAATTATAATTCTTAGTTCACTTCCAAAATTTATCAATCGTTTCTGTCTAGAGTTGGCTCGTATAGTTTGTATGGCAAGAAGGTGGCCTTAACGGCTGAAGGTTACTGTATAAAGGCTGTGTTAAAGAGTGCATTGTATTTTTTGCGCTAGAATATCGTGCAATGAAGCTCCTGGGTGTTCCTGGTGCATTTCCTGATGACGTGAGAGCTAGCAGTTCCCGGCAAGCAACTTTAAGAACGCACATAACCAAACACTGCCTAAGATTGTAGCATACAACAAGACCTAAGGCAAAAATAGCAGAAAAGTAAAATATTTTTTCGAAAATACATTTTGCAGCTAACTGGGCTGCGTTGGTGATGAGTATTACCTTATGCGTTTGCACATATACAACTTTACCATTCGTTTAACCGAACTTTTTCATAATAAAGCTACCATATAAAGCATATCATATAGCGCTTATATCTGTTATATTTCATTGTAAACGACTACGTTTGCATTGTAGCTAACTGGAACAATTAGATAAATTCAGTTTCTCAGAGTATTCGAAATAGGGCTTGTACGGTCATACAAGAACTCCTATGATATAGCACATTCTGCTTAAGGCAAGCTTGACCCAGCAACTGTAGCTGTTAAATGTCGATCACGATCATAGTAACCTGTAGAAAAGGTGACGCTTATAGAAATGCTAATGTGATTCTACGGGCATATACTTTCGTCAGAAAGGAGGATCTTGGCTTTGTGGGTGGTAATGTTCGTGAGAAATGGGCGCAGTTGCACAACTATCAGTAAAGAAATATCACAATCATGTTCGCTCGCAGCAAGCTTAGGACCATTTGCCACGGCCTGTTCTTCAGGCTCCAGTCCGTAATTGTTTGTTCACTTATGAAATAAATCGCATTATCGATTATGTACAGGGAGATATTTTGTTTTCCTAGAAGTAACCATATGTGCAATGTATGGGACTACAGAAAATTATCATATTTCGGTTGTGTGTGCGGGTTTAAATATAGGAACAAACAAATATGAAATTTCTGCTAAAGGGATTCCAAAAATCCTTGTTCTGGATAAGCAAACATCGGCACACCCTTTTTGTAAAATGTAAAACAAGTATGTTTGCTCGGTTGCCGATCTTCTTCACCGCAAGTAATGTTTAGAGTTTGATTCATAAATAAAAGCGGAAGCACAGTACCGAATAATTTTTGCCCTAGATTTTTTCTATCAAGAAGATAATTGATAAATATATTCTAGAAAATAATGTTGTTGAACAAAGTAGAAAATTTGATACACTTTGTTGGCTTGTACACACCGATGAGCTGCACTACCTCATATATCTAATTTGATGACAGCACCTCGCAGCCGATGAGGGCTTTAAATTTTGTAGAAAATATGCATAGATAGTATTTATATATGTCGTACAACACCGAGCTACAACACCTACCCGTAATGATAAAGGCCGCTCCGAGCAGTGTGATGAAGCGAAGGCATGCCCAGTAACATGGTCGGCTGCCATGACGATACTGAGTTTGCGACCTGCAAAATAATTGGAGAAGATTGGAAGACGGCGACGTGTTCGATTTGCTCCTCGCTGTCTCGTACACTGTTGTTGACAGTCGTCGAATTTCGCAGGTGAAGGAGGAATAGTGGTGCATGGTTGATACCATCTGCAATCCAATAGCAGCAGATGGGCATCCTCGTTCACGGAGGCAACATCGTAACACAATCCGTTATGTGACGTTTGTTGGCTCCCCGAGTCATCGAAGTATAGTGACGATCGGCAGATATGGGGTCGTATCGTGTGAGGTACGGATACACCCCGTATGTGTACTGACAACAACAAGCAAAAAGTAACACCAGTTTCTAGCAGCAGTGCTAATAGTTTTTATGCTGGCGTGCTAGAAATAGGTTATCCGTTGGAGTTTGTTATCCAGTGGCGTTGCACTGCAGCTGCATATTGTCACACAGTAGTGGCGCAGACACCCTCAGAGGCTCCACTACATAAAACGTCATTGTCTCCCAATTAACAAACAAAGCGCACAGAATAGAAGAACACGCACACTTTAAACAACAATAGCAACGACCACCACCACAACAACAACAACAACAACGATACTACAACTGCGCCACCACCACTACGAAACGGATTACGTAGATCAAAAACTACCACGTTGAATTTGATGATTATAAATACGCAAAACTAACAACGAATGCACTCAGTACAACGCTAACAGCCGTCATCATATCAACAGTAGAAAGATCATATGTATAAAAACAGAACAGCGTCGACAGATGTGGATCCTATCGATCCCAACAAAACCAAAGACTGCAGAATTGGGCGGATATAGTCACTGTACAAATGATATCAGTAACCTCGATCAGGAAGTATCCTCAAACGAGAATCACATACTAGACGCACAAATGCTACAAACTTTTAGAATTGTTCCTATTTTAATTTTAGCCGCAGCAGACGACACTACGCGCGGCTCCACCCCATAGAACACGAGAGCCGACTGAGGAGGTCCTAGATCGGAACGCACAGTCAGGACCAGGGGGCGCTTCCATGGCCTGACCCTTTCCTATTTGGCCTTCCTCTTCTAAAGTCTAACAGAGGTCGGAGGAGCGGGCTAAAGCTCGCAAAAGCTGCCAAGGCCCTATTCGCTGGATATGGCCCTCGCCTTAAAGCGCTATTTAGAACAACCGGATAAGAGCTGACTCCTGTAGCTCCTACCCTTTCTCATCCCTTCATCCATTAAAATTGTAGACGAATTTGCGGCTTTACCTCTACATAACAATATATTTTTTCCTAAGCAGGGCACATTCGTCAATATAGCTTCGACAACCTTTTCGCCAAGTACGGCCGAATATCCCCTTAGTTCATTTAAAAAAAAACTACGGGTTACCAGCGGAGCGGCACAGACAGAACGCCTTTGGGGATATCAAGTCCATTTTGAAAAAAAAATGTCTAAATTTATTACTATCATGAAAGAAACGGTTCAGAGTTTAATTAGTCTAGTACTATTGTATTCCTACTATAGCAGCCTGAATAACTAAAATAAAAAACATGCTCCATAGTGTCTGCAGGCATAAAACCTAATTAGATTCGAACATCTTCAGTGGCTTCACGCACCTGTGTGGTAGGCTCACTTTTAAAGTCCAGTTAGCCTATCAGCTCGCCTGATGAACTTACAGAAATACGACTAGTGACTTTTTTCTTAAATGTTATTAAGGTCTCCGTGATAGCCTATCGAGTAACGAATCTACCTGCTAATTTTAGGGACAGGTTGTAATCTAGGCTCGAACTTGGCCATAGACACACACAGTTCATTTTCTTACTGGCAGGAACCAGCCACCTGTTCGACGAACGATACTGGATGTAAAACTCGAAAGATAGATGTATTATATTTGCGTATAGCGCTTGCCTTCATTGCTGAGCTTCGACACACGAATAGCCTTTGCTTTGACTGATCAGCTGATTAGAGATATGAGTGCTCAGATTCCTCCTCTTTCCATGCTGATTCTACGGCTCTGTGCAAACCGCTGCTATTCTAACTGTATTTATAATAACGACATGAAAAAGAACTCGTGTATCATGCTAAGCCTTGAAGAACGGACGTTCTACACGGGCAAAAAAATAAATGTTCGACACTGTTTTTCAACGATTTCCACACACTTCAAAGAGCTGAAACTGGTCCTGAAGCTGCTATCTGGAACATTAGTTTGGCTGAAAACGGAGAAGACGCGATTGCCGACCAAACTGCTTGGGAATCATTTGTGAATTTAAGAAATGGTAATATAAATTTTATTGACCGCCAAATTTCGGTGAAGACTGTTTGAGGGCTTTTTTGGGGGGAGGGGGGGACGCTGTTGGTCAGGCCGGGTATTGGCAGTGGAGATAGAAAGTGGGAGTGACACAATTTTTCTCATTCTTATGCAATAGGGTTCCCTTAAAACGTGGGCGCCTGCCCTGCCCAAATCCTAACCCAAGTGAACAAGCTAAATCGGCTTGCGATTGGCGCTCAGGGTCCGGTACCGTGCAACATGCTTTCACGTTGACATATCTTCATGTAGAATCTTTACTAGAAACTACGAATAATGTCTCTAAGCCAATATAAAGGATAAAAAAGCATTGGTCGTTGTAAGTGACAGACCTTAAACCTGAACAGGTTCTTCAGCCAAAGAACAGCGTGATCCATGTGTGTGTGTTCGGACTGTGGAGGTGTGACACTCTAGAAAATGTTTAAAAAAGGCGAGACCATTGATCAGCGTTTGTGCCTAGTCCACTTATATCGGGGGAACGAGCTTACTCACAAGAAAGAATTCAAAGGGTCCACTCATTTTGCTTTAGGACGACCCCAGGCAATATATGAAAAGAAAAACCTGTAAAAATTGACGTGCAACAACTAGAATAAGAGATTTTTCAACATCCTCTTTATTATCCTGAACTTGGGCCGACTAGGGGAAGAACCTATTGTTCTTTTTATCGAATAAATAGAGCAAAAATGGGCAGCAAAGTTTTTGCAAATAACATAGGCCTCGGAACTTGGATAGATAAGTTTTTTGAAACCATTTTGGCGAAGTAAAGTCAAACATTTAATCGAATGAAAAGAGATATATAAATTTCAGTTATGATACAATTGCTTTCATAAGAAATATGTTTTTGTGATCATTTGAAAAAAAAACTTTACAGAATCGAATTATTGAATATTAAAACTCTAAGTATTTTCACTGGTGTCGACTAATTCTGATAAAATAAATAGAAAAAATTGCCACTATATCACTTCCTCGAATAGTTGAAAACTCGCGGGACACACGGCAAGAGCTATGCAATAATTATAACAAATCGGCCCGCTTGTCATGACTAAAAATAGCACGATTCTGCAGCTTTGAGCGATTTATACATATAAGTTAACTCTAGTATCTACTCGGGTAATGTTAGAACTGAAAGATGTTATACCGTGAATAACTTAACAACGAATGTTCTATTATATAAACTGAGACAATAAATGACGCGGAAACTGTGGTTTATTCTGTTATTACATAACAATTTTGTTAAATTCGATAAAATCAACCAATATTAGTAATAATACGTGAAATTATAATCATAGCTTACTATTACGTTATGATGCGATTACTTAGCGCAAGCCATATGGTGTTTTTTAAACCGTTTTCTAGCAAAAGCGAAAATTACCTCAGAACAAAAACTGCAAAGTGCTATCGCAAGAATTGTTTATACTTTTACAGACAATCTGGCAGTCTTTATTACCCTATGAAATGAATTGAAAGCGTCATTGTTTACATATGATATATATACATTGCAATCGGGCTAAGCTGCTGGTCGTTTAAAAAAGATGCACATATATTGTACATATATATCCGGTTAACTCCCGAAAGGAATACTATTTATTTGGTTAATTTCTTACATCATTCATATGTGTCATAGAAACAAGTATAGATAGATTGTTTTTCTGAGAAGTTGAAGAAAAGAACCTCTTGAAAAACTTCATCTAATCAACTGTTATAGAACTTATACTCTATCACACAACAGGAACATTTCACTGTAATATATTAAACACAGCAGTTTTGGGACTTTTGAAACAATCGCAGTACCTGCACCTGCAGCTTATCGTATATCGCCCTGAAGCCTTCACTATGTGATTTTGTTAGCAGGCGTACAAGTACCATTTGTGAGGGTAATGTAGATGGGTGGTAGAAGCCCCGGAGAAGCCTCAAATGGCCTTGACTAGCTCTTGCCGTATGAGGAAAAGCAGCAGCAGCAGCACATGACGACGTCATGACGGTAATTTAGCTTCATTGCTAACGTTTCCGATTTTCTGCTTTTGCTCCACGTTGTCTGCAGCAATTTATTTAGTTATGTTCGGTTTGCTGATCCTGATGCTGCTTGCCCCACGAGGTCTCCTAAGTATGCCCCAGCTCTCCGTATTTCCTTGCTTCTCTTACCCTTTTATCTACACACTGCTGCGTAGCACATGATTAGTACAAGCAAGATCGCCTGCGAAGCCTTCTTGTTGTGAACACATGTTATGTTTACTTCGAAAATAATATCATGAAAGAGAGATAATAATATAATTTGCCGTTAGAGTCCAGTCATTGTCCAGCATCTGTTCGATGATGCATCGCAAGGGTTTTCACGGTTGGCTCTATACTCCCCCGCCATTTTTAAGAAGTGAGTTTATTTCTAGCAAAACATTAATTACTAAAACCATACACCGAAAGTAAACTAATTTTATTTAACACATCGCGTAGGATACTCGTGGCGTAACCAATATGAGATAAGGCGGTTAATGCAAACATGCGGGATACTTTACCGTACTTTTTACCGTACATTTACCGTACTTTGGCTGTCTGCTTGATTAGCTTACTTAATAAATTTATTTAATTACGAGTACAGGAACTTTATTTATTTTTCATTAGAAAATCAACCTTTTAATAATTACGATATGAAACCGAGCTTTGATTACATAGACATCTATCTATGTTATCTAAACATATAATATAGCTATTATTTAGCGAGCTCTCTTTTAGCCAACTTCCACCGCCAACAAAGACAGAATTTTGTTGTTTTAAAACATTGGTTAGGTTAGTACCACGGTCAAAGTCAATCAGGCGTGCTCAGTCTGTCAAACAGATTAGAACGTACATCGAAAGGCAGTAATTGTTAGGGAAACGAAATTCTTGCTTAAAGTATGTCTTCATTATAACGTGTGCCGATCTCTTCGCCGACAATAAATTAGTTGCTCAGTTAACTGCTAATTGTTTGCCTCGTATCCGATTTGTAATAAATGATAAAATATTTATTCGATAAAACATAGTCACATGCTGTGCTTCGCTGTCGTTATGTGCTTCTGGTCATAATAGAGGAGTGCAATTTCTTATCAGGCCTGTCTACTACCATTTCAATTATGTCAGCGATCGAGTTAGAGAAAGGCCGAAGAAAGAAGCCCCCCCTGGCTCCGATCGCCGGGATTCCTCAGAAGTGCCATTTCTCCGGCTATTGGGCTCCCTGGCTCTCGTTCAATTGTCTGGGTATATGTGGAGATCATTCAAACGGCTATGGAACAGTTTCGGCAGCATACCGCCTGCTTAGTCGTCCACTAGTCGGCCCCTGCCGGGCATTCCTAAGCGTCGTCCCACAGGGCTTCTCGAAGGACAAAAACACAAGGAGAAGAGATGGCGATAAATGAGAGCGAGCCGAGGTCAGACCTTAGGCCACAGAGCTTTGCTGCCACTGGAACAACCCAAACCCACCAGAGGTGGCCTAAGAAAAGATCGTTTGTTGTGTTCCGCTTTTCATGCTAGGCTACGCGGACGGACAAACGTCCGTCGGTCGGTACCGAAGGACGTGGAGGTACTGTTGTCTTCCCCTACGAGAATGTGTTTCCTTTTTTTCTTCGCTTCGCCTTTGGCTTGTGCTTCATAAGTGGCCACTCATTTCTATCTGTCCCTTG